ATGATTCAAAGACGAAGCAATATCCAAAAAGCAAATGTGAAAGTATGCACCAAGTCTCAAGCATCAATCCAAGTCCAGAATCTCAAATGGTATATTCATTTAGGACTTAGGATAAATATGTAAAGATGTATAGAAACAAAGCATTGCATGAGCTCAAGGTCATTCATCAATCATATATTTCAAAAGCATGCATCCTTAAAAAGAAAAGTCAAGACAAATGGTTTCATATGTACAATTTTGGTTTGGAAGAAGTACCTATGTGATACAAACTTTTCTAGATAATTTCCATAACCAATAACATGCATTACACGTCATAAAAACCATTTGGAAAGAGTAGAAACTCAGAACTCGTACAAAAAGGCTGCTTCTATGAAATATCCGGATATTCCACTTTGAATATCCGGATATCAGATATCCGGATATGTAACAAAGAATATCCGGATATACAATATCCGGATATGAGCCCGACGAATATCCGGATATGTACGGATTACAACGGCTATAAACGACTAGAAACGACTAGTTTTCATAGGAGGTGTCATTATAAATACCCACATCAGTTGGGATGAACAGTACACGACCCTATAGCATTTATTGAAGCTTTATTACTCTTGCTAGCCTTTTATTACTCATTAATTACTCATTTTGATCATTGTATACAATTGAGCTCATCTTTCCTTTGAAGTTATACATCTCTTAGTTCTTCAATTTGTTCAATCTGTACTTTGAGAGTACTTAGCCACTTCTAATCACCTCAATCCTACTTCTTGATTTGAGAGGGGAGTGAACCCTATATTTGAGAGGTTACCAAATTCCTAAGAAAATTTGGAGTGAAAAAGTGTAAGGCATCAAGAGCCCGAAGTCTTGAAAAGTTGTAGTGGTTTGTCAAGCACCCTAAAGCTTGATAGTTAGTGAAAAGAATTGATCGAGCGGCTTCAGTCTGGACGTAGGTCACGGTGGTAGTGACCGAACCAGGATACATCTAGTTTGCAATTTCTCTAACCTTAATCTCTTTATTTAAGTATTAAAATTGCATCTTAGATTGTCTTTATACATTCGCTTGCTTACTTTGTTGATCATTACACTTGCTTTTACAATTAGACATTTCCTTATTAAATCACTTTATTGAAGAAATAGTCTTTAAAACATCAAAGGAGGTACTTTGCGAAAAGATTTTGTAAAACTCAATTCACCCCCCCTCTTGAGTATTGAAGCCACCTGTCCAACACTAATTTGCAATTTCTCTAACCTTAATCTCTTTATTTAAGTATTAAAATTGTATTTTAGATTATCTTTATATATTCGCTTGCTTACTTTGTTGATCACTACACTTGCTCTTACACTTAGATTATTTCTTATTAAATCACTTTATTGAAGAAATAGTCTTTAAAATATCAAATGAGGTACTTTGCGAAAAGATTTTGTAAAACTCAATTCACCCCCCTCTTGAGTATTGAAGCCACTTGTCCAACAATGAGAACCGCTTCATATTATCTCTTGGCGGTGTTAACAGAGTCTGTTCACAAACGGCCAAATATGGTTATTGGAGGTAGTTATATCCGCCTCTGAAAGAAAATAGGGAAAACTTCAAAAAAAAAACCTCTGAAAGTTTAGTCAGAATCACTTACCCCCCTCTCCAAAAATTTTAATCATTTATACCCCTACTTAAAACTTTTTTATCACTTACCCCCTAACTTGATTTTCCATCCAAAGTTAAAGTTAATAGAGTTAGTCTTTCAAAAAAATACCAAAACTACCCTTAAAAAAAGGAATTAACCCCTCGACACTTTTTTGTTTTCTTGTAATTTTTTTTCAGCCCCACTATATGTTTCACCTTTCGTTTGTCAAAGGTAAACCAATTTTCAATGCTTCCATATATTAATTAAAGGAACAAAGGTGTAAATATTTTCATGAAGTAAAAAAAATGGACAACAAAAAAATCAATTAAAGGACCAATTTCATTAACTATTATCCATAAGATAACATGTCTGGACAACAACAAAAATGAGTTTCCAAAAAATCTGGTAAAACAACAACAAGCTTAAAAAAAATCTCCTTTCAAGTATATTAATCTATAAAAAAAAAAACTGGACAGCAACCTACAAAAAAATACATCATAGTCATCCATTGCAACCTGCAAAAAAGGAGTCAATAGTTCAAAAAAACATACAACCAAATATGTTATTCTACATATTTTTGCTGGCATTTGGAACTCGTTAACTATGTATCATTTGAATTGTTGATTGGGGTCGGTTATTGTCTTTATATATATATATATATGATTCAGGAACTCGCAAATTCGCAAATGGCAGAACTCGCTGATTGAAGAATTCGCAAATGGTATAGAATCATAGAATTCGCAAATGGTATAGAATATCCAGTGTTGTTTTTTTTAAGGGTAGTTTTGGTATTTTTTTAAAAGACTAACTCCGTTAACTTTAATTTTGGATGGAAAATCAAGTTAGGGGGTAAGTGATAAAAAAAAATTAAGTAGGGGTGTAAATGATTAAAATTTTTGGAGAGGCGGATAAGTGATTCTGACTAAACTTTCAGGGTTTTTTTTTAAAGTTTTCCCGTGAAAATATGATCCCCAAAATACTACTTTCTTTGTAATGTGACGCTTATCCAAGTGAGATGGTGGACATTAAATGAAGTAACAACATTTTCTTATTTTAAGAGCACCTATGAATTTATCATGATCATACACTCAAAAGGAGTAAGAAATTCATTTTATTATTAAAATGAATTTAACTATTAAAGTAAAGTGTTTATATTATCATCATATCAAATAGTGTATGGCTGTATTCTCATAAGAAAAAACAACAATACATCTTTTTCAAGAGTGTTTTAATCTTTATGTTGGCTATAACATTTGATACTCTTGAGAAATTACACTTTTTTTTGGGTACACAGAGAAATTAGACTTTGACATCCCTTATCCCCTGCTTTATCTGTGGCTATTCTAGTTTTTCCTCATAAATGACAATCCTTAAAAAAAATAAAAAAAATAAATAAAGGGAATTCACCAAGTACTGTACACGTGACTCTTAATGGTCTAGATGTCTTTGTTGTTGCAACAACTTTATTGCAAATGCCAATATTGTCCCTTTAGTTAATGAAATAGTAATAATACATTTGTCTTTGGAGTTGGGTTCTGCTTTGACACGTGATTTTCTTTTGAATAAATTGTTAAACACCTGGAGAGATATTAGCTATTCGGGAAATTTTATTTTGGAAGAATTTGTATAGTTACAATTTACCCAAATAAAAGAGTATATAATTTATTAGTTATGGGCAAATGATGTTGATAACCCACAATAATTGATAAGCCAATTATGCTCTCAGTTAATAGAATGATTTTGATAATGTTTCGTTTAATTTTTTATTCTCAAATTATTTGCTGTTGTAGTTGTAACCATTCCTTTGTTTGAAGGGCCCCTTGAAGATTCTTTAGACTCAAATATCATAATCGTTTTGCCAGTAACTTAATCTATATATTTTCTACTTTCCTTCAACGATTTTATTGATGTATCAATCCCCCCTTCTTCTTTTTTCCTCGAATAAATCTAGTAATTATTTTCACAACAACGTTGACATGCCGGCCAATTTAACAATATTAAAAAGGGGAGGAAAATGATAAAGATGGTATCTGGTGCCAAAACGCAAAATAACTTCCAAAACGTGTCGATTAGGAAATAGATATGTTGCCTTTCAGAACAAGAGAAAAGCAGCGTAAGAACGTTGTCATGTTTATCACAAATGACAATTAGCACATTGCAGCTGAAATACTGGAAATAGACGACAATTTTCTAACGTAAATTTTGTCGTTTATCGATCTTACCTAATGGCCAGTTTTCACCCCCCTCCAAGAGCCCACGCTGGATAGCAAGCTACTTGGGACCAATGCTGGCTTCTAATTTTGTCCTATTTTTTCCTCTTTCTTTACTTTGCTTTCTTCATTGAATGTCTATCTTGAAGGGTCGAAACCAATGAGCCCATAACTCCATTTCATGTTCGGGTTCACGTTACTTTTACTGGCTTGTGACAAACTTACAAGATGCTCTAATGAATCACTATCGCTGTTCAAGCAAATTTCTTATGAAGCAAGACATCACATGCACGAAAAGTCGAAAACAAAAGGCCCTGCTTTATTTTACTTCTTTTTCTCTTTTTCGAGTTATTACTATTTACTATTATTAAAAACAAAAAAACAAAAGTCCTCGTTGTTAGGCACATTCGTTATTTTCAAGGAAGATAAAGTCTACTATAATAAAACAAAATATATTTATCCCTTACCCAACAAAAGAAGAAGCAAGTTCAGAAATTGATGGGGTTTTTATAATTTTCCAAGTGATATATCCCTGATACTCATAAGAGCATCCGAACACGGAAAAGAAACGAATTGTATAATTCTATTGGATTCTTTCATCGTTTCACAGTTTCTGACTCCGTCCAAGGAATCATTCCTTTCATGCTTCACGCTAAAAACAACATGAACTCAACTAGAAAACAATACAAGCAGAAAAGAAGGCAATAATGAAGGGAGGGAAAAACAAAAAAGGAACTGATTTATTTATTTATTTTAATCAAAAGTGTAACCTGGAAGTAAAGGTTAGAGACAACATAACCAAAGCATGAAAACAGAGTTGCAGCACTTTAGTACTTTTAAAGGCCAAAGTTGTTGGACCACAACCAAATCCCAAATTTGCATTGCAAGTATGTAAACTTCTAGTATGATGAACCAAGTTGAGTACAATGAAGAAAATTTCAATTGCTAAATAGCAATTTACCATGTAGTAACTCTAGACATAGCAGATAGTTGTTAAAAACATTACTTGTACTCAAGATACCATTGTTGAATCAAAAGCATTTGATCTATCAATAAACGTAATGAAATATTCTTACCTACTTCAAAGAAAAAGTAAGAAAAAATAAAATAAAATTCACTTTACCCAATAGCAGCAGAAAACTAAACATAGCCAGATCAAAGAGGAGGTGAATTAGGCATCAGAAACAACACTAAGGTTGTCTTCTTCTTCAGGTGCTGGCAAGTTGAGATCTATGAAACTCTCTTTCAATCTAACACAATCATTAGCAGTTGATGAAGAAGATGGCATGAGGTGAGATCTCTTATGGCCACCAAGTGCTTGACCTGACCCAAAAACCTTATGACAAAAGGGGCATTCAAAAATCTTGTCATTATTCCCTTCACCTCTGCAAATACTTCTGTGACTGCCCAATGCTCGAGAAGATCGAAACACTTTCCCACAATTGTCACACATGTGCTTCCCACGAACTCTCTTAAACTTGATCTCTTTGTTGCATCCATTTAATGATATTTTCCCTTGTTCTTCTTGTTCTTGAACATGTTCCACCACATTGTTCTTCCTCCACTTGTCCCTCGACAGCATCATGAGGCACATGGCAACATCTTCTTCAGGGGAAGTGTTAGAAACCGAGCTCATAGGTTCAGGCTCGGTGGGTTGTGTTGATAGTGACACAATGAAACTCATCTTGGGGTTCTTGGGCGGTTCCAAATTCTGGGTGTGGCTAACCACAAAGCTGGACTTGCGGTTCCGTTTGGATCGTTGGCGAGTTGGGTTCTTTGACTCGGTCTCACTCTCTCTGTCTTGGACCACAGAACCAGTATCAGGTGCAAAAGAGAACTCAGGATCTGCAAGCCTGAAACTTTTCTTGGGATTCTCCCTCAAACCGTAAATCAGAGCCTTTTCTTCTTCTTCTTCTTCTTCAGGAGAAGAAGAAAAATATGACAAGGAAACAAGAGACTCAGTGAATGGTTCAGGTTTTGGAGGAAGGGGTAAGGTGGCAAGATGAGCCTTCATGTGTCCACCGAGGGCTCTGCCATTGGCAAATGTTCTTGAACAAAGCTTGCATTTGTGCTTTTCCATGAACAAACCCGAGAAGGCTTCTTCTACTCACTCTGCTTCTCTTTCTTTCTTTCTCTCTCTCACACACACAAGTTCTAAGGGAATTGGGAACTTTAAAGGAGTAGGTGACAAGCATTCCTCCACCAAAAGACACACACAACCCAAAAAATTATGATTTTTTTGCATATATATATATATATATATAAATATATGAGTTGTGCAAGCTAAGATGTCAAAAACACATTATAACAGTGTCATAAATTATTCAGCTGGCAAAAATTAAGAAAGTGTGATCGTGAACAGGAAAAGAGCTATAAGTAACATGCAAACCTTGCTGACCAAATGGAATAACCTTTTTTCTATTTATTGCTTTCTAGGCTCTCCAAAGCAGCAGCATTAAGAAAATCATTTTATAAATGAATTTTTACTTTTTTAAATTCAATGTATATATTTTTTCTTTGAGGGTCAAATCAGATTTTTTTTTTTTTTTTTTTGGATTCCTGTCACCCAATTGGCTAATTTTGTTTATACGTATTGTTTGACGGAGTATGATAACTTCAGGAACAAAATATGGGTCCTTGAAATATATTCATTGGCATAGAACCGCGATAATAGATGATTATTTGGTTGTGATGTGCAACTCACTAATTGTGAATGATTGGTGGTCCTATTAAATTCTGATTGCAAAATGTGGCGAAGATGGCTAGAATTAGAGATTGGATACAATATCACGGTATGAAGACAAATTGGTGATAATTACGAATTTCTTCGTTTTTTTTATCATGCGATAAAAGTTTTCCATATAAAAAACAAAATTAAGTTCTTTACTTTTATATAATAAAGAATCCCCAACATATAAAATCAAAATCATAATCAAATTGAAGGTTCAGCTGGGTAATTTTCTTTCTTCGTACTATTATCGATTGGTTAGTGATACCTACATGATTAAATATACATAAATAAATGAGAATAAGCGAACACTTATAATGCCAAAAAACAAAGGTGCAGTACAAATTCTTCACAAATCTCAAATCAATTAATAAAATTGATTTACTTATTATCACTTAAATTTTTTTTGAACAATTGTTTTATTAATCCGTGTTTACTTGGTAAGTGCCAAGAGGGCTATCCACTCATTAGCTGTCTTTGATTTCTTGGACTCAACTTTTTTTCTTTTTTTTTTACCACTAAGTAGGTGTCAACTATTTTATCAAAGGGAATCTGTGAATCTGCATTATGCGCAAAATATAGAAAGATTTATGGCACGCACAATCGCGCCAGGCATGATATACGCGATGCCGGTGGTTTTTCCGTCTTTAAATAGCATATTCTGCAAAATATTTTTTTATCTGATGTACATTTATTTCGAGTTATGTTTTTATTTCTTTCCTATGATTCTTACGCTTTTTTAACAGAAGTAATCTTAACTCAAAGTTCTAAGGTTTTACGAGTTATTCATTTTTTCTTCTATGTGAGTTTAAAGAAATAGGAGAAGAAAATTAAAAAAGTTTGCAAACTCTTTTAAAACTCTTCTCACCTTTAAAATTAAAGTTCCTTCAAAATATTTGAAATTATTTATCTTCCCCTAACATTAAAATAAAAAACCTCTCTCTTGTTCGTCGCTCCTCCAGATCTCTAAAAATTATTTTTTAGAGAGAGAATAATTTTTTAAAGGGAGAATTTATTTAAATGTAAAAATTATGTAAATAATTTTTTATAGAAAAATTAAATTTAAATTTGTTTGAAAATTATAATAATTATTCTACTTTTTTAAGAAATGGTCGAGTTGTAAAAATATATCATTAACTCTATATTTTTTTCCTTTATCATATTTTTAACTTTCAAATAAAAGAAAAAGAATCCCTTCATTTCTCTTTCCTTCCTCTCTCTCTCCCTTTTGGATTTACTTTCTTCCTTTCATCTCCAAATTCTCAAACAAATCCTTATGATACAATTCTCGCTGCAATATAATATAGGTAAGATTTGAATCTCTAATTTGCAAGTGAAATTCGCTTACATAAAACTCAAATTGTCAATTAATTTTCTGTCGAATAAAAGTTGTATTCGATGTACTCAGTTTAATTTTTATTTTTATTTTAAAAAAAATTGTTTTTACCATATCACCTGCACCGTCTAGAAGAAATTTTGAGCCTTTTCTAAAAGAAGTGTTTAGATTAAGGGTTTGTTTTTTCTAATGTTAGTTTAGATAACTTTATCTAATGTTTATCGAAACGACGTCGTTTTGGGGCGGAAATCATGGTGTTTTTGTAATTTTAATTTATTTCAGGGTTATAATAGTCTTTATCTTTCTAATTTTTCAATTTTTCAATCCCAAAACAACGTCGTTTCAATGAACATTAGACAAAATTATCTAAAGTAACATTAGATACATTTTCCCCTTAGATTAAATGCATATTGTGCTTTTTCATTTAGGTTATTCATTTAGTTTCTATCAATTTAAGCTTAATTTAATTTAAATATAAAGTATTTCTCTAGTCACCGGAGATAAAGTTATCTTCAGTGAACTCAAAATGACATCGTCTTGGAGTTATAAGATTAAAAAATTATAATGATAAAGACTAATATAACCCTGCAATATATTATAATTACAAAAATACCTTGATTTTCGTTCCAAAATGATATCATTTTGGACTCACCGGAGATAACTTATCTCCATTGACTGAAGAAATCCTTTACCCTCAATTTAATCACTACAATGCAAAACCAATTAAGTAGAAATTTATAATTTTTAAAAGCGCGAATTTTTTTATTTTTTATTTTGTAATGAATTGTTCAATTAAATCTAAACTGAATTTATTTACCAAAAATAAAAATCTAAACTGAATTTAGTGTGAACTACAAGAGAAAGGAACAATTTAGGTGTGTATGACAATATTCCCAGAATCAGGCTTTTTCTTTCTTTCTTAATTTCTGTTTCCGGGAATAGAAAGTGTCAGAAAATTTGTTTGATAAAATTGGTTTATTTTTTTTGTTCCGGAATGAACCGGTTTAATTTTTGTGTTGGAGAACAGAAAAAAGAATAAAAAGATTTCTGTTTTTTTGTTCCTGGGCACAAAATGAGAAACATTTACCTCTCACAAACACTCTACACCATTACCATCATCACCACCACCACCATCCCAACATGACCACCGCCACCATCGTCACCGTCATCGTCGTACCACCACCACCACCACCACCATTATCACCTCCACCCATCGCCACCATCACCAGCACCCCTACCACCACCATCACTACCATCACCACAATTGCCATCATCGCAGCCACTGCCGTCACCATGCCACCGCCACCACTACCATCACCACTGTCGCAGTCACTGCTGTCATCATCACCACCATGCCATAACTATCACCACTACGCCATCATTGCCACCACTACCACCACCACCACCATCGCAACCACTATCATCACTGCCACCATTACCAACCATCACCACCATCGTCACAGCCACCGTTGCCACCACCACCACCACCACCATCATTATCACCACTATCGTCGCAACCACTGTTGTCACCACCACGCCACCGCCACCACTACCACCACTGCTACCATTGTGCTGTCGCACCACCATGACCACACCATATGAAAAGAGAAGTGATGATTTGAAAAAACTTTATGTTTAATAGGAATTATTTTTTATTATATTATTTGTTGTGTTATCAAACACAATTCTCATTCTCGAAATAAAAATAGAACATGTTATCAAACACATTTTTTCCTAAGAAACTGTTCCAAGACACAGAAATAGAAAAGAATTGTTTCTTTTCATAAACAATGTCAAGGAACAGAATGGTTGTCATGCAAACCCTTAACCTAGTTTTTTTCACCAGAATTTCCTTCATTTTAAGTGTTGTCGTTTCGTATTTTACTCAAAAACATTGAAGTTTTTCTTTAAATGAATAATTAAAATTACTAAACCTATATATATATTGATTACTTTTTTACCAACGATAAGTAACTCTAGTCTTGAGGATCATCTCTGACTCACTTATCAGCTTTGTATGCGTCCATCCATTAGTGTCAGCCCTACACCGGACCCTAATCTAGACGACTCATTGCCTTTGCTAGTTATCTCATTCTTTCCGACTTCATAATCATATATTACTTCTATTACTTACTGCAAAGGTATTCGCTCCACCAGCAACTTTCTTTCTCTTTATGACTTCTTGAGTTATTATCGACTTTCTTCATATCATTACATCTTTGTTTTTAGTCTTTCCTCTGTTTTCATTCTTAAAACATGGGGCAAACCTACATGGGGGGCTAAGGTTGGCCACTGCCCCCCTTAAAATTTGAAAGAAAAAATTTATATATGTTAAAAGGCATTTTGGTAATATTATTGCATTATTTGTCTTAAACATTACAAACTGTGTGTGAGTGGAATCCATCCTAAAATTTTACTGACATGCCACATGCGTGAGTGGAATCCAGACCACAAAACCTCGAAGGCTTAAATCACACAAAATTGTGGAAATTGTTCTTTCTTGATTCTCTAATCAATTTTTTTTCTTCTCCAATTGCTGTTAATTGGCATTCTCCTTGTAAACTCATGCAAGTAAGTATGCTTATCTCTTATTTATTTTTTCTTTTCAATTCATTTTAATGTTTTTATTTTTATCCATTAACTATCATGAACATAGAAATTAAGAAAAAAACATATATTGTAAATAATCCGATACAACCATCGAACACTTTGCAATTTGCATTATTGTCTCTTTTTGGATTAAGCAGAAGCGATTGTTGACTTTGTTTTCATTTCTAGAATTCAATTTATGAACTTTCAATATATATATTTAACCATCAAATACTCTGCTTTCATGCTCATCGAATGCTTTTATAATTAACCTAACATATAATTCTAATAACTAAGTGAAGGGAACTCAAAAATATATATATATTTTTTTTGTAATGTATTCATTTTTGTATTTTTGTTATTATTATTATCTTAAACAAAAGGATAATTATTTCTGAACTATATGTCATACGAAATCTATTTAATG